GTGAGAGAGATATGAGTAATGAAACAGATAGAGATGGACAGGCGCTGAGAAGATGAAAAACGAAGTGAGATGACGTCAGTCTCGCTTTATCTATATTTGATTAAAAGGAAACTGACGTTCACATATGTGGTTTTAAATCTGCCTCGACTTGAATGACGTTTCTCTCTCGGTGTGTGTGTGTGTGTGTGTTAGTCCGATTAGAGTCTCGTGTCTCGAAGGCTTGTTACGGTCAGCATAAACTCCAGGCCGTTCTGTGGATGAAGTGCATCATGTGTTCATTAAAGGAATAATTCAGCTACAAATGAACACATTCTGTCATCATTTACTCGCCCGTGTGTCACTCCAAACCCAGACCTCTGTGGAACACACACACACACACACACTCAGAGTTTTAGCAGAAACTTCATGCTCTCACTCATACCAAAAAAAGAGTAAATGGGGTTCTAGGCTCAATTTTAAAGAACCATTTTTTGCCAAAAATAGTAAGTAAGGAGAAAAGTCTCGTGATATCACACTCGTCTAGTGATAAAGTTTGTTTACGAGCTGTTTAATTCATAAAATGTGACTGATAATGTGGAAAAACAGCGGAGAATTGAACAATCATTTGCATGATGTTCCAAACTTGTTCACAGAAATGAGAAAGTGTGTTTGTGATGTGCACGAGTGATGATCAGTGTTGGGAGTAACGCATTACAAAAGTAATACATTACAGTAACATATTACTTTTTGCTGTAACGCAGTAGTGTAAGGCATTACTAATCAATTTTCAGTAATATTTTACTCGTTACATGTTCAGTGAGGCTTGTATTACAGTTGTATTACAGTGTAATGTCTGCTTTTACTTCTTAAAGGCAACAGACTATGTGAAAGTTTTAGAGCAGTCTTTTAGTGCCAGTTCAGAGCGGTCGCGTCTGTAACATTGTCTTTTCCTCATAAATGCGAACACGAAAACTAAAATAAAATGAATATTTTAAGTTCTATGGAGACTGGAGAGCCAACCCTTCCTCATCCGATTTGCGCAGTGTAATTAACAGAATTACAAAAAATCGATTTTGCCTCCTATTTTTTTGTCACACATGAATGTGCGTCTTTTCCCTAATATTAAAAATAAAACATAGACTGATATTTGTCTAATGTCTGGAGTCCTTTAAGGAAGTAGCCTATATACGTTTCAATACATGTATTTTCGAGTGTATTTACAAGTTTTACAATGTATTTACAAGTTTTGACTGCAAATGTCATCATGTCCATAATGCTGGACTTCCCCAATTTTAAATAATTTATCCTCAACTAGTTTTGTGGTGTAGGTCTACGTATTTTATAATGTTAACTTCAAATAATACTAATAGCCTAATTTAAAGATAAGGTAGCATTGGATCTGGACGGTAAGGAGAATAACGCTGGAGTTGGAAGAGGTGTGTCGCGATTCTGTAGGTTCGTGGATCTGAGTCGTGTGGCGAATCGTGATTTCGGTTTCATATTGCATATCGTTACAGCCCAAAAGTTAAGTTCCTACTTAGTTATTTTGGTGAAAGTAACTCAAAAGTAATACATGAGTAATGTAACGCATTACAATTCTGGGACAGTAATATTGTAAGGTAATGAATTACTTTTAAATAACAGTAACAAGTAATACCTAATGTATTACAGTTTGGAAGTAACTTGCACAACACTGGTGATGATGATGTGAAGATTGAACTGGCGTGTGTTCGTCCTCCCTCATCCTCCTCTCTCTCTCTCTCTCTCTCTCTCTCTCTCTCTCTCTTACAGTGAGTAAGACAAACCTGTCTGTGCATGAAGACAAGAACCGAGTTCCCTATGTGAAGGTGAGAGCAATCAAACCCTCCTTCATCTTCTCAAATTAATGAGATCAATACACAAGAAAACTCTCAAAACTGCAAACTAAATAAAATTGATGTAGAAACTATTTTCACTCAGAAATTACTGTTAATTTCACAGACAACTACAAGAAATGGCAAGTAACGCATTGAATTAAAAATAATAAATAGTATTTTATTGTCATGCTCTAATAATGTTTTATTTACAATTTAAAAAATCTGTTTTTTTACAGTGTAGAGTAGGATAGATATTTCCCTTCATATGATATTTCACATTGTATTAGATTGATATGATATAATCATATATATCTACAATATGATATTTATATTTTTCATATTTATAGGATATTCATATATCTTATCGTATCGTTACATATTGCATCATATCACATAAAATATAAAATAGTGAATTGTATCATAATATTGTATCATCAAATCATATCATGTATCTTATATCATTAAGACGTGCCAATAAGTTTAGTCTTACAGTGTGTGTGTGTGTACAGGGTTGTACTGAACGTTTTGTTTCCAGCCCTGATGAAGTGATGGATGTTATTGACGAGGGAAAAGCCAACCGTCACGTCGCTGTCACAAGTCAGTATCTCAGTTATAATTTTGATGATTATGAAAACCTTTTCACAATATTCTAATTTTGAATTCGGGGTTTTCATATCTGTAATCCATAATCTTCAAAATTATAACAAATAAAGGCTTGAAATATCTCACTTTGCATGTAATGAGTCTAATATATTAATTTCACCTTTTAAGTTGAATTACTGAAATAAATGAACTGTTGCTAAATATTCTACTTTTTTTAGTTTCACTTACTGGGGCTGTTTACACCTGGCCAGTTCATGTGTTTTCTCAGATCGGATAGCGATCTTATTTATCAAAACGATCCCATTTACACCTGGTCACATGAATGTGTTTTCGTAAAACGGATAGAAATCCGATCTTTTCCGCGCTCTATGCAGATTTAACAGAGATCTCATCACCGAAAGCAACAGTTAAAATCAAACTCAAAGACCGCAATAAGAGAGAGCGGCAACAAGCCTGGTAAAATCTTTGCGTTTCTTTACTTTTAATCATGATAATTGTGTGTTAAGTGTCTGCGACTTACTTTCACTTACTTAAACTCTCTCATTTTTTAGCATTTTTGGGACGAGTAAAATTAACAGATGCATTTACACTCGTCCAGTTTCGTCTGGAAAGCGTCTCAGATCTCCTCCTGAAGTGTGTGAGCGATCGGATTGAAATCCGTCGAATGTGTTTGGGAACCTGGTCTCTTCTCGATCGCTAGCTATCCCATCACGGAAAACACATGAAGTGTCCAGGTGTAAACATTGAAGACGTGCTGTGCGTGACTGGTGTGATGTTGTGTGTCAGATATGAATGAACACAGTTCCAGGAGTCACAGCATCTTCCTCATCAGCATCAAGCAGGAGCACGTGGAGACGGAGCAGAAGCTCTGTGGGAAACTCTACCTGGTGGACCTGGCCGGCAGCGAGAAGGTGATGGAAATATGATGTCCTTCAGCCTCATGACAGGAAATATATCTCATTAATGTCTCAAACCGTCCTCCTAGAGTGAGGTCAAATGGAGAAAAAGATGGCGTTAATCCCGCATGTGTCTAGAGTTTCAGAAGAGATCTCAACGTGAACTCAATTATTGGCCTAATCTGAGCTTTTACTGGACAACCAGCGAGTCTTTATTCCTCCTGAGAACTTTAGGAGAAACATCTGAAAACACTGCAATAAAAAAGTGCAATACACTTTTGTCATAATCATAATAAAGTTGTCATAATCAATTTCCATTAGACTAAGAAAATTCCTATTAAATTTCACAATTAATAACAAGGAAACGATAAGTAACACATTGAATTAAACATGAGATTTTGAAGTAGAAAAACTGAAATTATTTTTTCTTGTAAATCATACTCCAGTAATCTTTGATTTATTTACAACTTTGAAAAGTCATGTTTTAGTATATTATACCCTTCCCTTATTCAAATTTTCTTGAATTTTATTATATATATATTAGGGCTGTGCAAAAGTTAATTGCGATTAATCGCATCCAAAATAAAAGTCTGTGTTTACATAATATATTTGTGTGTGCTGTATATAATTATTTTGTATATATAAATACACACACATGCATGTATACATTTAAGAAAATGTGTTATTCCTATATAAAATATTTATATTTATATAATATAGATTATGTATTTATATATATATATATATACAGAATTTAAGCGCAAATAATTCTTAAATATATACAAAATAATTATACACAGCACACTCAAATGTATTATGTAAAACAGACTTTTATTTTGGATGCGATTAATCGCAATTAACTTTTGCACAGCCTTAATATATATATATATATATATATATATATACACACACACACAACAGATTTAAAATAAGTCTCTTCTATTTTATTTCTCAAAAATACAGTAAAATTTAAAAAATATTATTACAATAGTTGAATATATAGTAAAGTGTAATTTATTCCTGTGATTTTCCGCATCATTACTCCAGTCTTCAGTGTCACATGACCCTTCAGAAATCACTCTAATATGATGATCTGATGATCAAGACACAGTTATGATTATTATCAGTGTTGGAAACAGTTATCATACTGACCCCAAACATTTGAAGTCTCGCGTTATTTGTCCAGGTGAGTAAGACGGGAGCGGAGGGATCGGTCCTGGATGAAGCCAAGAACATCAACAAGTCTCTGTCGGCGCTGGGAAACGTCATCTCGGCTCTGGCCGAAGGCACCGTGAGTCACACATCATCTGCATATTACACCAATACCTTCAGAGGAACAGATCGATAGCCTTAAAATATGCATTATATCATGGACAGATGCACTTTTATGATGGATAGATGCACTTTTATGATGGACAGATGCACTTTTATGATGGACAGATGCACTTTTATGATGGATAGATGCACTTTTATGATGGATAGATGCACTTTTATGATGGATAGATGCACTTTTATGATGGACAGATGCACTTTTATGATGGACAGATGCACTTTTATGATGAGAGATGCACTTTTATGATGGATAAGATGCACTTTTATGATGGACAGATTCACTTTTATGATGGACAGATGCACTTTTATGATGGACAGATTCACTTTTATGATGGACAGATGCACTTTTATGATGGACAGATGCACTTTTATGATGGACAGATGCACTTTTTATGATGGACAGATTCACTTTTATGATGGACAGATGCACTTTTATGATGGACAGATGCACTTTTATGATGGACAGATGCACTTTTATGATGGATAGATGCACTTTTATGATGGACAGATTCACTTTTATGATGGACAGATGCACTTTTATGATGGACAGATTCACTTTTATGATGGACAGATGCACTTTTATGATGGACAGATGCACTTTATGATGGACAGATGCACTTTTATGATGGACAGATCACTTTTATGATGGACAGATTCACTTTTATGATGGACAGATGCACTTTATGATGGACAGATCACTTTTATGATGGACAGATGCACTTTTATGATGGACAGATGCACTTTATGATGGATAGATGCACTTTTATGATGGACAGATGCACTTTTATGATGGACAGATGCACTTTTATGATGGACAGATGCACTTTTATGATGGACAGATGCACTTTTATGATGGATAGATGCACTTTTATGATGGATAGATGCACTTTTATGATGGATAGATGCACTTTTATGATGGACAGATGCACTTTTATGATGGACAGATGCACTTTTATGATGGACAGATGCACTTTTATGATGGACAGATGCACTTTTATGATGGATAGATGCACTTTTATGATGGACAGATGCACTTTTATGATGGACAGATGCACTTTTATGATGGACAGATTCACTTTTATGATGGACAGATGCACTTTTATGATGGACAGATTCACTTTTATGATGGACAGATGCACTTTTATGATGGATAGATGCACTTTTATGATGGACAGATGCACTTTTATGATGGACAGATGCACTTTATGATGGACAGATGCACTTTTATGATGGACAGATGCACTTTTATGATGGATAGATGCACTTTTATGATGGATAGATGCACTTTTATGATGGATAGATGCACTTTTATGATGGACAGATGCACTTTTATGATGGACAGATGCACTTTTATGATGGACAGATGCACTTTTATGATGGATAGATGCACTTTTATGATGGACAGATGCACTTTTATGATGGACAGATGCACTTTTATGATGGATAGATGCACTTTATGATGGATAGATGCACTTTTATGATGGACAGATGCACTTTTATGATGGATAGATGCACTTTTATGATGGACAGATGCACTTTTATGATGGACAGATGCACTTTATGATGATAGCTTCACTTTTATGATGGACAGATGCACTTTTATGATGGATAGATGCACTTTTATGATGGACAGATGCACTTTTATGATGGATAGATGCACTTTTATGATGGATAGATGCACTTTTATGATGGACAGATGCACTTTTATGATGGATAGATGCACTTTTATGATGGACAGATGCACTTTTATGATGGACAGATGCACTTTTATGATGATAGCTTCACTTTTATGATGGACAGATGCACTTTTATGATGGATAGATGCACTTTTATGATGGATAGATGCACTTTTATGATGGACAGATGCACTTTTATGATGGACAGATGCACTTTTATGATGGACAGATTCACTTTTATGATGGACAGATGCACTTTTATGATGGACAGATTCACTTTTATGATGGACAGATGCACTTTTATGATGGATAGATGCACTTTTATGATGGACAGATGCACTTTTATGATGGACAGATGCACTTTTATGATGGATAGATGCACTTTTATGATGGATAGATGCACTTTTATGATGGACAGATGCACTTTTATGATGGACAGATGCACTTTTATGATGGATAGATGCACTTTTATGATGGATAGATGCACTTTTATGATGGATAGATGCACTTTTATGATGGACAGATGCACTTTTATGATGGACAGATGCACTTTTATGATGGATAGATGCACTTTTATGATGGATAGATGCACTTTTATGATGGACAGATGCACTTTTATGATGGACAGATGCACTTTTATGATGGATAGATGCACTTTTATGATGGACAGATGCACTTTTATGATGGATAGATGCACTTTTATGATGGACAGATGCACTTTTATGATGGACAGATGCACTTTTATGATGGATAGATGCACTTTTATGATGGACAGATGCACTTTTATGATGGACAGATGCACTTTTATGATGGATAGATGCACTTTTATGATGGATAGATGCACTTTTATGATGGACAGATGCACTTTTATGATGGACAGATGCACTTTTATGATGGACAGATGCACTTTTTATGATGGACAGATGCACTTTTATGATGATAGATTCACTTTTATGATGGACAGATGCACTTTTATGATGGACAGATTCACTTTTAAGCTGAAATTTCACAGACACACCACAGATTTATATTACATCTTGTGTAAAGAGGCATCATATCTCACCTTTAACCCATTTAAACTCTCTCTGTCGGTGCAGAAGACTCATGTGCCGTACCGGGACAGTAAGATGACGCGGATCCTTCAGGATTCTCTGGGCGGAAACTGCAGGACCACCATGTTCATCTGCTGCTCACCTTCAGCCTTCAACGACGCCGAGACCAAATCCACCCTGATGTTCGGACAACGGTAACACACACTCTAAAAACAACACAATTTGGGTTATTTGGGTTAATATTAGGGCAGAACACATGTTGGGTTAATTTTACCCAGCAAATTGGGTTATTTAACACAGCATAATGGGTTGATTTGACCCAGCATATTGGGTTGATTAATTTTTACTAAAGTTCTAGCTTTTTTTATTATTTTACTTCATACATAAATTAACGTTTTCGGTTTAACTTCGGTTTGACTCGAATCGACGATGGGTTGATGCCCCTGTATGTTGCTGTAGATAAAATTAAGCGATATATACAGAACAATAATGAGTTTTGTAGACACAAAAAATACCAATTTGACGGAGCTGCAGTGCTCTCTCCTCAAGACGTCACAGAAAGCCTGCGAAAAATAACTCAAGCCCTGGGTTGTTATATCTGACCCAGGAGCTGGGTTACACAAAAACTACCTAAATACTGAAAAAATAACCCCAAAAAATGTATCCAAAAGGCTCAACTCTTGGGTAGAAAAAATGATACTCACTCCATCTCTCTCAGCGCAAAGACCATCAGGAACACGGCGTCTGTGAACCTGGAGCTGACCGCAGAACAGTGGAAGAGGAAATATGAGAAAGAGAAGGAGAAGAACAAGAACCTGAAGGAGAACATCCAGAGACTGGAGGCGGAGCTTAACCGCGGGCGTGACGGTGAGAACACACACACACCTGATTTCTCTTTAAGACGGTTATTGATTTACACTGGTGACATGGCGGTAGATTCATCAGGCATATTTATTATTGTAATGCATGGGGTTTGATAAAATCATTGTAAAACTGTTTATTTGATAATATTGATATAATTACAATACTGGTGTGACTAAATATATATATTAGCCTTTAAAAAGTTGCCAGTTTATTATAGTACATTTTGTAACACACGTAATTTTAAATAAATTAAATATTTTTAAATAATGGTTGTGCGTCAGGGGAGTGTGTGTCAGCGCTGGATCTCATGGCTGAGGAGTCTGATGTCAGTGAAGACAACCAGAGCATCAGTGTGTGTGTGTTAAACCCCGGGGAACACAAGCTCAAATATGAGGAGGAGATACGCAAACTCTACAAACAACTGGACGACAAGGTGTGAGCACAACACACACACACACTCACAGACACAAACATAACACAGACACACACAAACTCACAAACACTCACAGACACACAAACTCCGATAAACAAAAATACACCCACAGACACACAGATACACAAACTCACACAGCCTGTAGTCAATGCATGGAAAAATTGGCTTTCTGATTGATTTTTTTTCTCTCTGACAGGATGATGAGATTAATTTACAGTGTCAGCTGGTGGAAAAACTGAAGGAGCAAATGCTGGATCAAGAAGAGGTTAAAGACATTTACTGAATTCCAAATAGCTATTTTATATTATATGTTATATGGCAAAAAAAAACATTCACTGGATACTATACTGCATTCTTGACTTAATATACGGCATACTGTGGTTAACTTTATTTCGATGGTTCAAACATTCGATGGTTCAACATAACATTCAAAAGTGATGATCAAAGAACATTCAAAAGTAACGATCAGAGAACATTCAAAAGTAACGTTCAGACTCCGAGAACATTCAAAAGTAACGATCAGAGAACATTCAAAAGTAACGATCAGAGAACATTCAAAAGTAACGTTCAGAGAACATTCAAAAGTAACGATCAGAGAACATTCTAAAGTAACGATCAGAGAACATTCAAAAGGAACAATCAGAGAACATTCAAAAGTAACGTTCAGAGAACATTCAAAAGTAACGTTCAGAGAACATTCAAAAGTAACGTTCAGAGAACATTCAAAAGGAACAATCAGAGAACATTCAAAAGTAACAATCAGAGAACATTCAAAAGTAACGATCAGAGAACATTCAAAAGTAACGATCAGAGAACATTCAAAAGTAACGTTCAGAGAACATTCAAAAGGAACAATCAGAGAACATTCAAAAGTAACAATCAGAGAACATTCAAAAGTAACGATCAGAGAACATTCAAAAGTAACGTTCAGAGAACATTCAAAAGTAACGTTCAGAGAACATTCAAAAGTAACGATCAGAGAACATTCAAAAGTAACGTTCAGAGAACATTCAAAAGTAACAATCAGAGAACATTCAAAAGTAACAATCAGAGAACATTCAAAAGTAACGTTCAGAGAACATTCAAAAGTAACGTTCAGAGAACATTCAAAAGTAACGATCAGAGAACATTCAAAAGTAACGATCAGAGAACATTCAAAAGTAACGTTCAGAGAACATTCAAAAGTAACGATCAGAGAACATTCAAAAGTAACGATCAGAGAACATTCAAAAGTAACGTTCAGAGAACATTCAAAAGTAACGATCAGAGAACATTCAAAAGTAACGTTCAGAGAACATTCAAAAGTAACGTTCAGAGAACATTCAAAAGTAACGATCAGAGAACATTCAAAAGTAACGATCAGAGAACATTCAAAAGTAACGATCAGAGAACATTCAAAAGTAACGATCAGAGAACATTCAAAAGTAACGATCAGAGAACATTCAAAAGTAACGTTCAGAGAACATTCAAAAGTAACGATCAGAGAACATTAAAAAGTAACGATCAGAGAACATTAAAAAGTAACGATCAGAGAACATTAAAAAGTAACGATCAGAGAACATTCAAAAGTAACGTTCAGAGAACATTCAAAAGTAACGTTCAGAGAACATTCAAAAGTAACGTTCAGAGAACATTCAAAAGTACCGATCAGAGAACATTCAAAAGTAACGTTCAGAGAACATTCAAAAGGAACAATCAGAGAACATTCAAAAGTAACGTTCAGAGAACATTCAAAAGGAACAATCAGAGAACATTCAAAAGTAACAATCAGAGAACATTCAAAAGTAACGATCAGAGAACATTCAAAAGTAACGATCAGAGAACATTCAAAAGTAACGTTCAGAGAACATTCAAAAGTAACGATCAGAGAACATTCAAAAGTAACGTTCAGAGAACATTCAAAAGTAACGTTCAGAGAACATTCAAAAGTAACGATCAGAGAACATTCAAAAGTAACGATCAGAGAACATTCAAAAGTAACGTTCAGAGAACATTCAAAAGGAACGATCAGAGAACATTCAAAAGTAACGATCAGAGAACATTCAAAAGTAACGATCAGAGAACATTCAAAAGTAACGTTCAGAGAACATTCAAAAGTAACGTTCAGAGAACATTCAAAAGTAACGTTCAGAGAACATTCAAAAGTAACGATCAGAGAACATTCTAAAGTAACGATCAGAGAACATTCAAAAGTAACGTTCAGAGAACATTCAAAAGTAACGTTCAGAGAACATTCAAAAGTAACGATCAGAGAACATTAAAAATTAACGTTCAGAGAACATTCAAAAGTAACGTTCAGAGAACATTCAAAAGTAACAATCAGAGAACATTCAAAAGTAACGATCAGAGAACATTCAAAAGTAACGTTTATAGAACATTAGCAAAAAAAAATTATTAGCAGAGCAGAACAAGCGTTCTATTAATGTTACTGGAAGAACCTTGCCAGAACATTTACATTTATGCATTTTGGCAGAATGTTATCCAAAGCTCTTAGAACGTTCCCTGTTAGCCGAGCTGGGATATTCCCAAAATGCCCACCGCATAAAGCTGGAAGATGAAGATAAAACAGCATTGAGGATGATTTCAGTCTTGTGTAAAATAGGTCAGCAGAAAAAACTCTCTGTTCTTGCTGTGTCTCTGTGTGTGTGTGTGTGCGCGCAGCTGCTGGCCTCGTCGCGCGGGGACTGTGAGCGTGTGCAGTGTGAGCTGACTCGACTGCAGGCTGAGAGTGAGAGTGCGAAGGCCGAGGTGAAGGAGGTTCTGCAGGCGCTGGAGGAACTGGCTCTGAGTTACGACATGAAGAGTCAGGAGAACCAAGACACGAGCGCTCAGAACCGACGACTGACCGAGGAGCTGTCGCACAAAACCGTACGACAAACACTGCAAACACAATCTCTTAAAACCAATCTCTTGAGGCCCGTTCACAGTTAGAACAATAACTATAGTCGTGTCGAGGCACCTTCATTGATAATAGGAACTTAAAGTATAGAGATAGTTTAGGCTTTACAGCAGATCTAGAATAAAGTTATAGTCCAGATAAAGATCATTAGTTATTAACTCAGGGGCCGCTAACTCGACACTGTTTAACTGAGAACAGAAACTTTAATGTGTTCTGGACGCTTATTTGCACGATTACAGCGTTTGGTGCTTGAGAACACACACTTTGAAACAAGGTACAAGTTTGAAAAACATGATCTCTGTGTAAACTCCAAAAACGTGAATCTGTGAAACACACACACACATTAACCAGACTCATAAACCCACCCATCACACACACACACAGAAAACTTTACATTTTTACATTTAAAAAAAAGGAATTCCGGATGTAATTCTCTGTCTTCCTCTCAGTCGGATCTCGTGTGTTTGGAGGCGGAGTTTTCCCGGCTACAGGAAGTGAACGCCCAGCACAGGAAACGCATCACTGAGGTGATGAACACCCTCATGAAGGATCTCAACGACTTCAGCTTCATACTGGGAGACAGTGACCTCAGACTGGTGAGCGAGTGTGTGAACCCAACGCATGAGGTCTTCACAGTTAAAGGTGCAGTGTGTGGTTTCTAGCGGCCTCTAGTGGTGAGGTGGTGAATTGCACCCAACAGAAGTTACGGTGGCTGTCAGGAAGTGATGTCGAACAATCAGGATTCTTTACAAATATACATTAAGAAATTATGTTTACTTAGAAAATTCTGTAAAATAGTATTTTATTGCGAATATTACTGTAACTTGTTCATCACTGTGTCAGTGTTTAATTCGCCGACTTAAGTTTCACTTCTTAGCATGAAGAACAACACCGTGACGAAACGCGTTTGTCCGCTCAGGGCCACCGTAGAAACGTGATGTGAGTGGACCCGCGGTGTGTGTAGAGACAAACGCCTCATTCTAAGCTAATCAACACATAATGCACACAGAGTTATGGATATGATATTGCAATTCTCCTAAATATTACACACTGCACCTTTAAAACACACTTTATGGCTGAAACTCTAACTTGCTTTTTCTAACTCATTTAAATTGGTTTCTATTATTGACATGACAAAACTTTATATTTGCATTACCAAAGTTGGGCAAAAGAAAAAAGACTTTACTGCAAATGTATTAAACGTAGAACTTACAGGATAATAGATGAAAAAAAAACATTATATATTTTATACAAATATAATATTATATTTTATAAAAATACATACACCACCAGTGAAAAGTTTTTGATCAGTAAGATTTTTTATGTGTTCTCTTCTGCTCACCAAGGCTGTATTTATTTGATCAAGAATACAGTAAAAATTGTGAAATATTATTCTAATGTAAATCATGTTTTTTATGTGAATATATAGTAAAGTGTAATTTATTCCTGTGATTTTCAGCATGATCCTTCAGAAATCACTCTAATATGAGGATCTGATGATCAAGACACATTTATGATTATTATCAGTGTTGAAAACAGTCAGGATACTTTGATGAATAGAAAGTTGAAAAGAACAGCACTTATTTTAAATAGAATCTTTTGTAAAGTATATTACTGTTTATATATTAAAAATAATACTATTTTTTATTTTTACCAGTCTTGGTGAGACTTCTTTAAAAAAAAAAAAAATACCCATCAAAAACTTTTGACTGGTAGTGTATATAAAGATAATAAAAACACAAAAATGACCAGTAAAAATTTAAATGAAACATTAGGAATTAAAATAAATAAAATAAAAAGTAAAAATACATATATAAAGATAATAAAGACAAGTAAGAAAAGGATTAAATTGAGGCGTATGAGGTGAAGGTGGGTTGTGTGTGTCCTCAGCCGTGTGACGTGTCGTGTGTGTTGGAGGAGGAATACGCCGTGGTTCGAGTGTTTGTGAGTAAAGTGAAGTCTGAGCTGAAGTCTGTGGTGAAACGCTGCCGAAACCTGGAGAACTTACAGTCCGACTGTCACCGCAAGATGGAGGAGACCGAGAGAGAGCTGTGCTCCTGCCAACTGCTCATCTCACAGGTCAGAACACACACACACACACACAGGGGCGGACTTAACCATTAGGCAAAGGTCGGCAACTGCCTTGGGCCCCGAGCTACCCCCGAAATATCTCATTCAATTATGCTTTAGTCGTTTGTTTTTTTTTCCTTTTCGCAAATTATATATTTCTAAAAAACGCATTAAATCATTAGTGTCGCAGACAGAAGCCCCCCCCCCCCCCCCCCCATTGGACTATTCCATTATCTCATTTGACTTTCTGCGTGCGAAGCCAAGCGGTGCTGAAAAAGCAAGACGCGGGAGGAAAGCAAAGCGTTTTCAGCAAAATTGCAGAAGGCAACAAACTTTTTTGTGATGCCCGCTGACAATGACAACAATGCTAACAATAAAGTCCATGGCTGTAGCCGGACCTCTGTCATTTTCTTTACGTTCAAAAATAAAATGTCAAGCTCTCTAAATGATTAATCAGCCGTTTAAACCACCTCATATGAGGGCGCGGGTACAGTCTCCGTGTTGCCAGATCCACCTAATGGAAAGGTGCAGTTGTCTTCTGGACCTGTTTTTCTGGTTTAATGCGACACTTTAGGAAGTTATAAAGTGGAAAGTTATATGTTAGGCTTAGTGATATATTAATCTTATTTTCAAAACGCAAGCTTTGAACTTATTTCGGATTATTATTATTAATTTGTTTTGTTTTTCGTAGCAATATCTGGCAACATTTTACTGTCGGCGTTAATATAAAAAAAGCAAATTGTAATTGCATAAAGTTACCACATTCGGTAAGACAAACGCAATGATCTTCGTGATTATCTGGAAGAAATGTATAACGCTATCAAAAACTAGAGCATAATATACAGATCTTTACTAATGAAATTTGCCAAATTACTTACCGGCCAGCTGGAGTAGTTAACCTTTCACAAAGTCATCATAAATACAATAATTAAAGCAGTGTTTCTCAACTAGCAATCTATTTAGTCAGCATATTTGTGTTTTGATCTGTGCGAAATACAGAAATATAAGACTTGTTAGACCTAATGTTTATTATATTTCTTTGCACAAAACTCTCCAGAAAGTGCCATTTAATGGTTTATTTTTCCTTTTTTTTTTTTTTTTCCTTTTTAACTTTTTTTTTTTTAAGATCGGATGGGGGAACCCCATACTACCTTCGCCTTGGGACCCCAATTTGCTAAATCCGCCACTGCACACACACACACACACACACAGAGAGAGACCGAGAGAGAGCTGTGCTCCTGCCAACTGTTCATATCACAGAACACACACACTCACTCAGAAGTACACATGCAAACATCGTTCGACTGCTAGTGTGTGTGTGTGTGTTCCAGCATGAAGCGAAGATCCGCTCTCTGACTGAATACATGCAGAATGTGGAACTCAAGAAAAGACAAGTAGAAGAAAACTACGACTCTCTGAGCGAAGAGCTCGCTAAACTACGGACCGCAGGTACACACACACACTCAGAATATCACAGAACACACACACAGATTTCAGATTTTACTGTCATTTTGAACAGTTATAAAATTAATATTTTAATAACAGTGGTAGATAGACACTTTTATTTATAAGTATTTTTATTTAAAATGTAATATTTCGTTTTAACTGTGTTTGCAGACGGCGGTCAGGAGAATCCGCTGGACAACGACGAGTCTGGAAACGGGAAGGTAGTTCTTGTTTGTCAGCGCTTGATTTATTGCTAGAAAGTTCATACGGCGGGGATGTTTATTAATATGGCGTTATATATCTGTGTGTGTGTGTGTTGTTTTCAGAAAGCAGAGGTTCAGCGTGAGCCCAAACAAATGACGCTCGGACGCCTGCGCGACGACATCAACCACAAACAGAAGATCATCGACGAGCTCAAAGAGTCAGAAACACTCGCTAACGACATTAACAATCAACATCTCTATCACTTATATATTCATAGAGAAAACATTATTTTTACAATAGTGTTTCTTAATCTGTTAACATTATTCTGACATTTATATTTGATTACATTTTATTCATTGTATTTGCCAAAAATATGCATTATCACTTTAAAATGTATAATACAATTTTGATAAATGTCACGATATATAATGTTACCGTGATATATCGATAAATCCACAAACCATGAAATAAAATGATAATAAATATTAAGATTTAAATATGAAAGCATGTATAAAAATGAATGTATTAAATTACTATTATAATTAAATGTTTAATAATATGTAAATTAAATATTTTAATAATTTACTAAATTGCTAAATGGGAAAAGTAAAACATTGAATGTATTTAACATATTTTATCATAAAAATAAATATATAATGTTATGATTGTATAAATTATTTATTAAATAAAATTCTTAAAAATATTATCAAATATGATTAGTAATTTATAAAATATAGGTAATAACCTATTGATAATATTATATCATAAAATTTAAATGTATTAAATTACTAAAATATTTTTTCAGTATTACATTAAATAGCTTTAATAAAATGTATAATGTATTTATAAATATACATACAAGTATAATATTACATATTTATAATTTTATAAATAATGCATTGAAATACTAACAATATTTTTTAAATATGATAAGTAATGCATTAAATATATTAATAATGTTTTAATGAGGTAATCCTTTAATTGATATTAATGAAGTATTAATAAATGCTGAAAATATCATTTATGTAGATTAATAAATGCATTAGAAATATATTTCATTGTTAGTTCATGTTAATTTAATAAAACTCTATTTCTTTATACTGGGATTTTTAATTTTGTATTTTTAAAATGAACATTTCACATGTGCATATTTAATATTTTAATGTCACCTTGTATATTTATATGATTTTTAAATTAAATAAATCATTTCTTTTCCCAAAGAAAGTGTAGCTTCAAAAACTCAATACACACTCTTAAAGGAAATGTGTTTGTCTGTAGAAACCCTCTCAACAATCCGTTGTGTGTGTGTGTGTGTGTTTTCAGTGATAATCAGAGGCTGAACCTGCGTCTGGATCAGATGAGTGTCGAGTTCAGCGTTTTAAAGAACCGAGAGCGAGAGAAATCCAGACAGCTGGAGGAGCTCAGGTGAGTCTCACACACACACACACACACACACACACACTTCCGAGAGAATGACATCACGTCTCATACACTGCTCTATCTGCAGATATCTTCATGAACGACAGGAGCAAACCAAGCAGGACATGAAGGGTTTGGAGGAGACGGTTGTGAGTATCGACACTGAACCGAAGCTTCTCGAACACTTTATTGCATGTTATTTACAATAAAATGGAAATATAGTATAGTTTAAAGGGTTAGTTCACCTAAAAATGAAAACTCTGTCAGTAATGACTCATGTTGTTCAACCCCGTAAGGCTTTCGTTCATCTTCAGAACACAAATTAAGATATTTGTGATTAAATGTGAGAGCTGGATCACTCCTCCATAGGCTTCTGTGTTATTGAAACTTTCCGGCCCAGAAAGTTATTAAAGACCTCGTTAAAATAGTCCGAGTGACGACAGCGGCTCAACCTGAAGATTATCAAGCGACGAGAACACTTTCTGTGCGCAAACAACAACTTTAATCAACTATTCACACTCTTCTGTGTTGTACGTCAGAACGTAGGCTCACTATTGGCTGACGCAGGTCATGTGTGTGATGCCGGCCAATAGTGAGCCTACGTTCTGACGAACAACCCAGATGAAGATAAATAGTTGAATAAAGTCGTTATTTTTCTTGTTTTTTGCACACAGAATGTAGATCTTAAGGTCTTAAGGTAAATCTCAAGTTTATTAACTTGTTAAAACATAATTAATGATAATTAGTGATTTCTGAAGGGTCATGTGACACTGAAGACTGGAGTAATGATGCTGTAAATCACAGGAATAAATTACACTTTACTATATATTCACATAGAGAACAGATGATTTACGTTACAATAATATTTCAGTATTTTTAACAAATCAACACAGCCTTGGTGAGCAGAAGAGACTTCTTTTAAAAACATTAAATATTAAATAATCTTTCCGATCCAAAGGTTTTGACTGGTCGAGTACTTTTATGATTTGAAGTGCACTTCTTTTTCACAAGGGTTTGATACTGGAGTAGATTATTATGATTATGATTATGATATATGATGTTTGTGTTGAAAGGCTCGTGAACTGCAGACTCTCCACAATCTGAGGAAGCTTTTCGTTCAAGATCTCACGGCTCGAGTGAAGCGGGTGCGTTTCTTCAAAGCTCATGGGACATTCATTTCTATATGAATATTATTATTATATTAATATATATTCAGAGCTCTGAGTTGGTCTATATGAATCTGTGTGTGTGTTTCAGAGCTCTGAGTTGGATTCGGATGAAAGCTGCGGATGTTCAACACAGAAACAGAAGATTTCCTTTCTTGAGAACAACCTGGATCAGCTTACGAAAGTTCACAAACAGGTCGGTAACGAATATGAGCCAGAAATGTATTTTTTATTTATTTTTTTACTAATTATTTATTTTATTTTTATTGACGTGACCCATAGGCTCTATAGGCCTACATCCATTTACATGCAAACAAAGAATATAAAAGAATAGCTTACCTCAAGGGCATCCAAGATGACGGAGTGTATTCTCTCTCTCTCCGTCACACACACACACACACACACAGCTGGTCGGGGATAACGCAGATCTGCGCTGTGAGCTCCCGAAGCTGGAGAAGCGTCTGCGCTCGACGGCGGAGCGTGTTCGAGCGCTGGAGAACGCTCTGACCGAAGCGAAGGAAGGAGCGATGATGGACCGGCGCCGGTACCAGCAGGAGGTGGAGCGCATCCGAGACGTCATGAGGCTCAGAAACCCCTTCAGGAGAACTCACGCTGCGCTCATCGGTCAGCGCCACTCCCATCATGCACTGGGGCGACACTTACATTTGTGGAGTATTTTATTTACTGGATTAGACAAAAATAAATATTCAAAAATATATAAGCAATGTATAAAATATATTTAGTAACAAAATTATAATATTATACAACATTTTAAAAATAATAAAATATTTTTGAAATTTAATAAATTAAGTAATACATTGAATATATTTAATAACATTTTATTGTAAATAAATAATATTCTAAATATTAAATGTTATGATTGTATACGTTATTAAATTACAAAAAAAAATTTAAATATAATGCATACAAAATATATATAATATTATATATGAATATGATATATTCTAATAGATCTAGAAAATTATTTAATAATATTTAAAAATATCATTAAATATGATAAGGAATACATTAAATGCATTTAATAACATATTTATATTATAAATACATAAGTTATTCTAAATTGTATAATGTAATATTTAGAAGATAATACATCAAATTACTAAATATTATGAAAAGGAATACATGACGTATATTTAATAACATATTTATAAAATATTCATTTATAAATATAATATTATTTTTTTATAATTTTATAAATAATGTATTAAATTACTAACAATATTTTAAAATAGAATACATAATCCATTAAATATATTTAATAACATGTATAATATTATAAATATAATATTACTACATTTTAAAACTGTATAACTTATTGAATTACTACAGACATTATTAAACATATTAAACATTAAAAATTAATATTAATATATTTAATATTAATAATATAAATATTATAAATTATAATTTATATATACATATTTATATAATTATAAATATTAAACATTAAAAATGAATATTAATATATTTAATAATAATAATATTAATATTAAACATTAAATCTTTTTAGTAGCTATTATAAATACATTTAAAATTATAATATTACATTTTATGGTTTTATTTTTTGTCCTCAGCCAAGCCGATTCGCCCAGGACATTATCCCACCTCCTCGCCCGCCAATCACACACTCACGCGCAGCAGAGATCAGCCAATCACGTTCAGCAATGCGATGTTCAACAGCGCCACTCAAAAACCCAAATCAACAGAGTCCAGTTTGACCAACAAGTGAGTAATAAACTGTGTTTATGGTTTATGCCTGACTGAACTGTGTTTTTACTACAGCTGTGTGTGTGTGTGTGTGTGTTCCTCATGTGAACAGGACACAGTCAGCGGACGACACACACACGGACTCCACACACACACTGAACGGTAAAGACATCACGCCAACACAACTGATGCTGTACTTTTACGAGCTGAACCAAATGTGATTATGAGAGTTTCTGCATGGGACCTGATTGAAACACCCAGACTCTAATGTGCCGTTGTTTTCTATAAATAAAGGACGCATTTTATATTTAATGCTGTTAAATGTAAATAAACTCAGATCCGAGCATCTTTAATGCATTATTTTGTGCAGTTATTATCATTATTTTAATGCATATTCACACTTGTTTGACAGGAAATGGCCGAGATGTGAATGATAACAGGTAAGCGTGTTAATAACTGTAATAATCGACATGCTGTGGTGGCGTGCCGCGTGAAGCCTCTGAGAATGACGCTTTCTTGTGTGTGTTTCAGCGCTCGCTCTACGTCTGTCACTGCTGACCAATCAGAGGAAAGCATTCGTCAAGAGAAGCCCATCGCCAGCTAAACACACACACACACACACACACACAGGTAACCTGACTGAGAACTACTGAAGAGCGAATCACCTTTTTTTTTTTCAATTCCACTGTTAAAAATAAAAACATGGTGTTGATATTATTGTTTTAAATGCAAATATATGCACAGTAATGGATATATATATATATATAATTAAATATATTGAATAGTATATATTACAATAGTAATATAATTATTTTATTAAATATTATAATTTTACTAATCATATTTAATATTTTTTGTAATTTAATAAATTATATTTTATATATATTTATAAAATAACGTTATTAAATAATATAAGGATAATCCATTACATATATTTAATAATATTCTTTTGTAATTTAATCTATTATAAGATAATAAAATATTTTATTTATTTAATGTATTTACTTACCATATTAACAAATATTCTAGTATTTTAATACATTATTTATAAAACATTTTATTTATAATAGTATATATTTATTTATAATATTATAAATATGTTATTAAATTTATAGAAATATTGTAGTATTTTAATACATTATTTATTAAAATATATACGTCAATTTTATGTATAATATATATTTATTTATAATACATGTTATTAAATATTGTAATTATAAAAGATTGAATATATTTAATAAAATAACATGTTACATTTTAAACACATATATATATTTTTGTTGAACTTTAAGTTATATTGATAAATATGACAAATGCATAACAATAACATTTTATTATAATATTACATTTCTATATTTAAATAAACAATTGCAAAAAACAATATTAAATATGATAAGTAATATTTACCGTTTTGTTTCTGTTTCTCTCCAGGCGACCTGTACTTCTCAATTCTCTTCTCTGTATATTTATATATGCATGTTGCCTGCAGTTCCAGTGATCACACACACACACACACACACACACACGTCGAGCTGCATGCTGAAGAGCTTTCATTCTCACGGGTCATTCTCAGAAAACAGCAGCAGACTTTCAGGAACACTTTAATTTATCACTTTCTATTAAATATATTAGTATCAATAGTCATTTTCTAACCAATAATAATTTCTAATCATTATTTTCTTAAAGAGCCAATGTCCGTATATAAGAGAAAATACTGAATTAAAATGCAAATGAGCAGATATACTAATGAAAATCAGCGTTTCCTGAGAACGACCCATGAGCCGACCGTATGATGCCGTTCGTCCTCGTCTACATTACCGTGAGGTTATGATGGGATATTTTTATGTAGCTGTAACTATTTTTATACTCATATTTAAAAGAGTTTTGGTTGCGATTTCTATGCATTATTTATGTTTCAGTAACAATGTATAAACTTTTAGTTTTGATTTAGTAGTTAAATTACTTCGAGCTATAATAAACTCAAGAGAGTATAAAATTAAAAATAAATGAAAAGGGCAATGGTGACTTTTTCTCCCACAATTTTGAGTTTAAATCTTACATTTCTAAAAAGAAAGGTCAGAATTGTGAGATAAAAAGTTAAAATGACCATTTTAATTTTAATCGCAGAAACAAGCTTCCATAAGAGAGACGCGTCACATGACCAGTTTGTGACATTAAATATTTAAGTGTAAAAGTCAGACAATAAAAATGTATAAATATATCTAGTCAACTCTAAGGAGATCGGATTGTTCCTAGAATCAGGATTTTATTCTTCATAAATGGAGTTGAGAAAATATAATCTTTACATTTTAAACATTCAGATGTGTGAGAAACAACACAAACACGTCCAGACACACACACACACAATTAAACACATGAGCACATTGACACACATGCACACACACTAAAAAACATGAGCACACACACACACACACGTGATCAGACACAGTCACATCAGTCAGTGTGAACTCTGATCAAATACGGGCACATTCATCTCTGTGTGTGTCTGGTCAGGTTGCTTTGAGTCTGACCTTTGACATGTCAACACGTCGTGTTCTGAGGGTCAGGTTATGAGAAACATGTATTTTCTGGCAACACTTTAAAGGTTCTGTGATTCTTGTACAGTACATCGTGCAGCCAGGAACAGGTTGATAAGATAATGCATTTATAAAGATATAATAATGCATAACAATATTGATATATGTGGACCGCTTTCTGAGCGGTCTCAGTTACACGAGATCTCATGCGGTTTGTTTTAAAAGAGATTCTGTGCATAAATGATGGATTAGAGGAAATGTGCAGTGTGTTTGTTTTTTGTAGAGCATGTTAAAAACTTTCCTCTAAAAATATTTCAATAAAGAGAATATGAATCATGAACGTCAGTGTTTTCTGAATGTACACTCTTAAAAATCCATACAATCTTTACTTTCCACAAAAGGTTCAAAAGCTTCTTTAGATTATTAAAATGTTCTTGACTCTAAGAAAATGATTCTTTTGTTATTTGACGCTGTGAAAACTCCCTTATGTACGGAGGCGTATTGCATTCACTTGAAGAAAAAAAATCTACTCTGTTTTTCTGAAATAATGAGTTAATTTTTCATGAGAAAAGAAATTGCTCTGTTTTTCTGAATTAATGAGTTAATTTTTCATGAGAAAAAATTTTTTTCTCTGTTTTTCTGAATTAATGAGTTAATTTTTCATGAGAAAATTTTTTTTTGCTTTGTTTTTCTGAATTAACGAGTTAATTTTTCATGAGAATTTTTTTTTGCTCTGTTTTTCTGAATTAATGAGTTAATTTTTCATGAGAAAAAAAGTTTTTGCTCTGTTTTTTCTGAATTAACTCGTTAATTCAGAAAAACAGAGCAAAAAAAAAATTCCATGAAAATTAACTCGTTAATTCAGAAAAACAGAGCAAAAAAAAAAATTCCATGAAAAATTAACTCGTTAATTCAGAAAAACAGAGCAAAAAAATAAAAAAAAATCCATGAAAAATTAACTCATTAATTCAGAAAAACAGAGCAAAGTATTTTTTTTTCTCATGAAAAATTAACTCATTAATTCAGAAAAACAGAGTAGATTTTTTTTCTTCAAGTGAATGCAATACGCCTCCGTACTTATGGAGCAGATATATATGAAAAAAAAGAGTGTTCCTCAAAAATATAAGATCAAAAATGTGTAAATGTCATTCGTTAGATCAAGTTTCCATATTTACATCCAGTAAAAAATGGGAGTAAAAAAAAATGTGTATTGGCAAATATATTTATCGGTGTCAATCGTAGGTAATATTTATATGAATTATGAGCGTGCGGACACCGAAACTCTCTCACGTCGTGTCGTGCTTGAAAATGCTTATGTTAAGTGAACATAAACAGTTGAGAAAGAAAACGCTTGTGTGTCAGACTGCTGAATCAGTGCGTTCGCTCTTAAAGTGAAAGGAGCCTAATAAACCTGCAGCGTCTGTGAACCTAATGTTAAAGCTCCCTGAAATCAAATTTAAGTTTAGCAGCTTTTAATATGAATGATCGCATTAATTGTCAAACCGTATTCACTTTATAGCCCTTAATCCTGTAATTGTGGACAAATGTGGGCACAGAGGACTTGGGTGTGATCCTAACTTTTATTTATTATAATTGTTATATCACTCTCTTTGGTTACTCTTAAAGTTTTGTCTATCCATTTATGGTGGTTTTGTTTATTTTGGGGGTATTTTTGAATTTATTTACTTCAAAAAGTACCATATTTTCTATGTAAATTATGCTTATTTTTATGTTTTATTATTATTTTTTTTAACTACATTAAAATATCATTCCAATAAGTTCTTAGAGCTAAAACCTAAAGATTGCTGTCACCTGGTGCCTTATTTTGGCTTATTTTAGAATGAATTCATTTCTATGGGTGCCCATTTTTGACCCAAATACAAGATTAAGGAGTTTTTTTTTTTCACCCACTTAACATTGTAGAATTGAGTGAAAAAAATTGTGTTCAGGAGGCAAACTTAGGAAAAGTAGCCAAGTCTTGTATCGCTCAGATCAAGGGAAGTAGTACCAGGAACACTTTAAGGTTGTGTTTATACATTTTAAACCACTGAATCGCTATAGAATTGCGATTAATTCAATTCTTACCTTTTAAATCGACTATTCAGGTAAATAAATTATTCACGATTCAAAATACATGTTTCGGGATCGATGCGTATGCATCATCAGGATTTGTAATCGATGCATCGAGAAAACGAGTGAATCGTTACACCCCTAGTAATTGGTTCACGCTAGCATATTTTCGTATATACACTGTAAAAAAAATAACCGGAAATTTTACATTAAAAAAACGGCAGCTGTGGTTGCCAGAACTTTACCGTTAAAAATACGGTAGAAACGTTAATGGTTTTACAAACTTAACTTAAAATTTACAGTAATAAATCGTATTTTATTTTCTGATAAAATGTTGATTTATCAACTTATTGATATTTGTTTTAGACCATAATACACTGACAACCATCAATCATCACAGCAGTGATGAGAGTTACATGAGCAATCACAGCTCATCACAAGTGAATACTTATTTAAGTATAAAGAAGCTGCACAATCTGATTCACACAAACATTAAACACCATCATGGTAACACACATGAAATTAAAAAATGCAATAAACATTAATTTAACAACATTAAATGTAACATAAAACCCTAATGTACATAACTGATTAGAAAAAAAACAATAAAACTATGAGGAACTATAGTTATTTCAACAAAAATACATCAAATGTGAAGTGTCACGCAGGGAATTGTGGGAATGTCGATTTACGTTTTTTCACTGTAAATTATACAACGATTTGTTCCTTTTCACTTTCAAAAACTGTAAAATTATATCACAGTTATTTACCGTATAAAGTACGGAAACTTTCTGTTAACCAATTAACAGTTTTGCACTGTAGCATTTTTACAGTCTTTTACTGTTAAAATCACGGATATTTTTTACAGTGTAGATAGTAAAGTATAGTGAGTGACAGCAGAGTGTGTCGTGTTGTAAGTGGACACAGGGTCAGTAGAGCAGATTCAGTGTGTACACAGATCAATAGTGAGGACACTGAAGAGCAAAGCTCATATAAACACACACACACACACACACACACGTAGTCTCCGCGAGCGGCACAACACCACTGGAGACCCACGAACGCTTCAGTCTTCCTTCTGATCATTACGCTTCATTTTCAGTCATTAAAATCAGGTACTGGAGATTTTATCATTTGTAATAAATACTGAAATATAAGGGTGAATCTCGTGAAATCTGTCGGGTCATATTTCACTTATCTAAATAAAAAGGAAAACATATTTTGTGCACAGAAAGCCTATTTTAGGACAATTTTATTCTATGTATTTTGAAATTATATTCATGGCAATTACATTTGCTTTCCAAATTCTAATACAAAAATAATGCTATATTTTAAGGTGCATTATTTATTCATCATGGTGCTGATATTAGCATTGCTTTTGATTTGTAATAATTTTATTAAAGTAATTTAATGCAAAAACACTATTACAGTAATAAGACTAACTTGTACACCCACACACATATATTAATGCATTTTCTTTTTTTTATAAAAACGTTTTATTTTTTCTTATATTTTTCGGGTGAAAATTCATTCATAAATCCCTTTTAGGAACACTTACGAAGTTATTGCGCATTTACAATTAAAAAGCAAATCAAATCTAGCAATTAAAGCATTCATAAATTCATAAGTAATTTCAATTTCAATCTGTCTCTTTGTTAGCATCATCTTCAACTTAATTTATCAGCCATACCCATAATTGTGTAATAATATTCAATATATGTAAATGTGTGGGTTTCTTTCGGTCATGAAACGAGTTCATATCAACGTTGGTCAAAGATTAGCTGTGTTTACATTCAGAGTACACTTATACCATAGCACAGGTTACTCCAGGTCAACATTTCAGCAGAGTTCAAAGGTCAGATGATGAGATGCATTAGACTGAATCATCAAGAGCTGAACCAGCATCACGTTTTCATGCATCTGAATAGAAAACTTCATCAGGACTGTGATCGATTAAAGCGTGATGTCAACACACAACGCCAGACACACTCGAGGCCGAGGAGCCACACACACCGAGAACGGCTCCATCACACAGCGTGAGTTCACACTGATCCTTCGGTCAGGACTTGATTCTGCTCAGATAATGTAAAGCACTGCTGTATTATGTGTGTGTGTGTGTGCAGAGGAGAATCGCACGAGAACGAGAGAGATGACACAGACAAACCAAGACATGGAGGTAAAACACTTCACTGCGGAGAACATTAACCTGCCTAAAAAAAGAAAGAAAGAATTTTTTTTTTTTGTTTTTGTTTTTGTGTGTGTGTGTGTTTTGATTAACCTAAAAAAAAATTATGGAAATATTTATACATCATGGTGCTATTTGTTGTAATGCCTTTAAAATGTAAGCTGATTTGAATAAAAAAGTGTTTAATAGTTTAATTAATATAATTTTATATATACACAAATATATACATTTTATATTTAATAATTACATACACAATAATAATATATATAATTATATACACAATAATAAATACACACACACATACATATACATACATATATATATATATATATATATATATATATATATATAACACATATATATATATATATATATATATATATATATATATAACATATACATATATATATATATATATATATATATATATATATATATACACATATACATATATATATATTATATTATATATATATATATAATATATATATATGGGCTGTGCAAAAATTAATTGCAATTAATCGCATTCAAAATAAAAGTCTGTTTTTACATAATATATTTGTGTGTGCTGTGTATAATTATTTTGTATATATAAATACCTATCCATGCATGTATATATTTAAGAATTATTTGTGCTTAAATTCTTTATATATATATATATATATATATATATATATATATATATATAAATAAATACATAATCTATATTATATAAATATTTTATATATGAATAACACATTTTCTTAAATATATACATGCATGTGTGTGTATTTTTATATACAAAATAATTATATACAGCACACACAAATATATTATGTAAACACAGACTTTTATTTTGGATGCAATTAATCGCAATTAATTTTTGCACAGCCCTATATATATATATATATATATATATGTGTGTGTGTGTGTGTGTGTGTGTGTGTGTTTGTATGTGCTGAAATTAAAGGCATCAAATACCAATTAAATTGCTTTATTACAATTAAAGTAATATATCAGCATTTTTTAAATTCATGAAAAGAAAATATATTTTCGTTCCTTTTAGATATAATAATTATACTTCTGTACTGTTCTATATAATTTTA